GAAACCATCCGTGTACAAACCTCCTTGTACGAAGTTAACAAACCTGCCCGCGCCTCTTGTTGAGCAGAGGCAGATCTACAAAGTGCTTTTCAAGACGCAACCAAAATGTCGTAGTCGCTCGCCTTTACCCCAAGGAAACATTTCATTCGATTGAGGTGCCCTGCGTTTGACTAACATTCAGCCAAACGCAAATGCAGCTCTTGTTACTGCTTCTGTAGCGGCAGCAAGAGTAGCAACAATATGTGAGATTGTTGTAAACGTTGTGTTTGTTTGGAATCGATATGTTTGTGTTGATTCCCTAATGTGAGGACTTCCGAATATCGAACAAACCACTTTCGAAGCGCAAGCGATCGAATTAAAAAAAAAGTGACTTACTCGGTATTCCCAAAGTAATCCAGAGTAAAACCGTCGGAATCCAGTGGTAAAACATAAATCCTCTTAGTCCGAAGCCCATTGTAAGAGCGTCCGTGTTGAATGGGGAAACAAAGGAGAACAGAACACGCAAAAAAATGTTTCTTCACCAAAGGTTTAACACGTACTTTACGAGTCGTTAATCTCCTTGCCCAACAGGACACAAACTTGAAAATCCTGCTGCAGTATAAGCAGAAACCTGAGGTCTTACAATACAATTCTCCTCCGCCGCGGAACGACTGGAAAATAGGGGGTAGAAGTAAAAAAAAGAGGCGAAAACGCAGTAATTTGATTGCAATTCCGAGGTTTCTCTGTGTCCCAAGACGTAAACTCCGAGGCGTCAGAAGAAAACGTTGGATTTGGGTTCCGTCTCACGTCCACGCCATGCTAAAGCTGAGCAAGGTGAGAGACTGCGTGCGAATACACCTGTCATACTCCAGTCCCTCTCATTCTCTCTCTCCCTCCCTCCTTCCCCTGCTCCGCTTCAGCCCTCCCACACACACGAGGAATTATGAAAACAGCTCTTATTTGCTCTTAAAAGCACTTTCGGGGGAGAGTTCAAACGCTCTCCGCCGAGCGACTGAACGAGCACCTTCTTCAAAGCGAAGGATCGGGGTCTAAGCCTGTTAAAGCCAGCTGTGAAACAACGCGTTAAA